GTCGTTCGAGCAACCGGCATACAGGATTTGTTCGTCGATGCGAGCCATCCACTGGCCTTTGCTAAGGCAGCTGCCGAACTCCGCCAGTTTGTATGAATCGCCGTTAGCTGAGTACGGGAAATGCCAGAAACCCGTCCCGTTGCCCCCGTTGAAGCCGACCTGAAACGACACCGTTTAAGCGCTGTGAACGACAAGCACTGAGCCAAAGATCATGTACTATCGCAGATTGCTTGCCGCCTCGGCCACGAAGAGTCCCTGCCGACGTGGACGAGGTATAGTTGACATGGGCGTAGTTGAAGATCGCGTATGAACGATGCTCGTCCGTCGCTAGAACCGCCTGATACGTGTTTTGCTGCGGAAATAACAACCACCCGTTAGATGAACTTCCACAAACCGGACCCGCAGAGCTTGGTACTCACCCACTTTTTGACCTCATTGTACTGGTCTAATCGCAGGTACCGTGGCTGTCCCCCGTAGCCAAGCTGCTCCCATGTTACTAGCAGTGCGTAGTCAGCAATAAAACCCCTGCTGCCAACCGCATTTTCGTGTATGTTGCTAAATCGGCGAACCGGGATGTAGTCAGGCTGCAACACAACTTTTCTCAATTTCACCTCGTGATCTCGTCTAGCAAGTGGTCATCGATGGCATGGCCGTCATATGAAGCATGCGATTCTTCACCCGCAGTATTAGTGCTTCTCCTTCGGTGGTCGAATTGACGTCTTGTGATCGTTCGGTACCAAACATGGCTCAGCCGATGGTCGCCAACGTGAACGAAGCTCTGGGCGGTCAGAAAAACGGCGACAAAACTGGGATCGTGTCCCCTTGGCCACGACGGGTTCGGAAACGTGTACGGTGGCTGCACGTATTCGGGAAAGCTGAACGCCACAAATCCTTCCGGATAAATCTAAACTGCAGATTATGCAGATTTTTACGCAAGATTATGATAACCAACGAATATTTGCATCAAACCCGGATTTGTGTCATATCTTCCTGTCTTTTGCCAACAGACATCTGAAGGGGGATTTTGCCAGGTCAAAGATTAAGTGCTGATTTAGCATCAACAGCACACAAGTGCGTCTCGTATCGTTTTATAAACTAGCACGATGCCCAGTCAGATGTCTTTGCGCATTGCAGATATTCGTATGGCATTCTTTGGCGGCATACTTAAATGCCTCCTAGGTATCTGGAAGCACGTGTCGATGCTCTGCGCGGTCATGTGACGACATGCGATGGCACGGATGCTCGCGGAAGTCACGCGTCATGACTCAAATTACGATGAGTCTTGCTGAGTTGCAACAGTTCACCACCTTCCGGCACTTCGCTTCTAACTTGTGCAAAATTTGCAGCACAGAGATTCGTCAACATCGACTGACAGCAAGAACCTGCATGAGAATCCTTATCAGAGTATATAAAGGTCGCAGGATCAGTTTCACCAAAAGTTGAGTCATGCTACACCTCTAATCTGGTCGATTGTCTGGACACGAGAGTTGAATCTTCAAGCATGGTTGAAACGTCAGAGATGTCTGTTACATGCGTATGTTAAAAACTTCCATGAAGAATCTGAAAATTGGTTATTTTGTTTAACAGCACTTCACGTTCGGCGTCGTTTATATATGAAATGTGCATGTGCGCAAAACGATATTTCGGTAAACTCAAGATGAGGAATCAAGAATGCTTCGGGAAACGGCACTACAACGATTGATCACCGCATCGATGCCCAAGAAAGACGAAAGTTATGCTGGACGAAACGACGTCATTCAAAAAATACGACTGAGCATCACCGCTGCCTCCATCAGAACCACGCAAGACTGAAACTTGTGGTGGGAATAAGATATCGCTCTTTTACCTAATTGACAGGTGGATAGAGGAAGACAAGAACTCTCTGGACTGATTTGCACAACAAACGTTTGCTAAGGCAATACATCAAGAGAATAAAGAAAAAGAAATTAAAATGAGAAGATTTGCCACTGACTGGACATTGATACCCTGCAGAATCTGGAAGCGTTCCACAGGTGGGATTGTTTCTCACTGTCCAACTTATGAATTGCACTAAACCTCTGATAAGAATCAATTTATGTTTCGCTGTTTCTGTGATGCCAACATAGATCCTTTCTAACGCTTTTCCATAAACCTCACCTGGGAGGCAAATAAAAATAATGCCCCGATAAACGGAGCACTCCCTGTGGTCTCCCCTCTTGAACAGGGGTACAACAACTGCCTTTCTCCAGTCCGCTGGTGTCTTTCCCGCAGTCATCGAAGTTTTACAGACACGGTTAGCCAGCAAATGCCTTGTTCGCCTAATGTCTTGAACATTTCATGACGGATTTCATGAATTCTAGCAGCCTTTCCATTTTTCAAGCTTTTCACAATTTGTATAATTTCATCTACAGAGATAGTAATAATCATTCCCTGCTGTTCTACAGGCGAGTCTTCCTATGGTTGCTCGGGGATAAGGAGTTCCTCAAAGTACACTCACCATCGCCGAAGAATGCCCTTGTCCTTGGTAAGAGGGTTTGCAAACGTGTCCTTCAAGACTCTAGAACTGTTCTTCTTTTTCACAGACAGTCTCCCAGAACACCATGTTTTCCATCTGGAAATTCGACTCCAACACCTCACCGAACCTCTTCTAGGAACCGGCTTTGGTTTTCGCAACTGATTTCGCTGCCGCCATGTGA